TAGGCAAAAATTATCCTAACTTGTTCGATTTTCGGAAAACTACTTTACTACAAATATTTTCAACGTATCCTAACGCATGACGCAAATACAATTCAAAAATTAGTTTAGGTATGCAAGTTCCCATATGGATAATTGTAAAATTATTCAGCTTGCTTTTTCCGGATAATTTTCGAATCAGCATAACGAATTTTGAAATGTCCGTAAGTGGGACATAAGGGTAATAGTCGAATTTGAAACCTTTAGCTCAAACAAGGACAGGAAGCATTTTTGCAAAGTTTTAAATTTCTATGTTGACTAGTTATCGAAGTCGTTCCCAGCCACAATTTTTTCCCACCTCTGTACGTGAGTTCCAAACGAACACAAACAATAATTTCGAGAAAGGAGGGTTATACATGCGATGGAGGCATGCTGGGCATGCTCAGTTTTTTGCCTTCTCTGGTAGCCGAGTTCAGAGTGAGTGTCAAAATTCACACACACACACTGAGAACCTCCTGGCAATATGCACTCTCGTTAAGTGTTGCAACGCTACAGCACTGCATAGCAAAAACACATAAAGTGGGACCTTGTGGCGACGAGGAGAGGTAATACACGGATGACGAGACGCCACCACGGCCATTCACGCACCTTTCCATATGCACGACCATTCCTTTGAATACAACGTATTGCAATCTCCTGCACTCGTCGTTTCGCTAGCCACTTTGCAGCAAGATATTTGCGGCACATTTCTTGGAAGTGCTCGATGAGGCCATTTAAGTTCAATTCACGACGCTCTTCCAGTTCATCCAGCAAATCGCTACGCAGAAAGACCTAATGATGTGTACTAACTGACAGCAATGGAGCACCGTTCGCAGAACAACATGAAAACTATTCTCAACCAAACCTACAAAAAAATGGAGCAAAATAAACGCAATTTATATCTCATCACAATTCCTAATTGGTTGTTACCTGGCTTAGACCCAGCCGGTAACGATGCGCAAACGCGCCGCACTCTTCCAATATTTTACCAGACGTTGCTCGATCATCCACGTATTCGTTTGGTGCACTCTGTTCTTTCAGCAGACATTGGAAACGACAGCGAAAATATTTGTAGGGGATTTGTTCCGAAAATCCTGAAACAATGAAACAGAATTAATGTCACAAGAAATTAATTTGAAGTCCCTGAAAAAGGAACCTGAATTCTCCACAATAATGGCAAAAAATCGATTTTAGCTTGCCAGATACAAGCTACAGCCGCACTTACGGGCATCCATGACCTCCCTGAAAACCACGGTAATCTATTGCCCTACA